CACTTTTAATCCTCAGGTGCAGGTAACACAGAGTAGAGTCTTTGGAGGGGAAGGCCCAGTCTGCCAAGTGGAGCCAAAAGCACATTGCAGGATGGTTACTGAGGAAGGAAGGAGACCATTGGTAAGAATAAAACAGAAGGGTGCTCCTGGAAAGGGCAGTGGGGCACCAACGGTATGTACGTCTGAGAGAGGAGAGACCCTCTGCTGCTTACGTGTCTATGGAATGTTTCTCCTGATTTTGTTCTGTGTATTGATTTTGTATCCTGCAATGTTACTAAATTCATTTATTAGCTCTAATAGCTTTTTGGTGGTGTCCTTAGGATTTTCTCTATATAGTATCACGTCATCTGCAAATAGTGACTGTCTTACTTCTTTTTCAATTTGAGTACCTTGTATTTCTTTTTCTTTCCTAATTGCTCTGGCTAGGACTTCCAATCCTACATTGAATGAAAGTGGGGAGAGTGGGCATCCTTGTCTTTCAAAAGATTTCAGCTTTTCATTTTGAGTGTGATACTGGCTGTGGGTTTGTCATACGTGGCCTTTACTGTGTTGAGGTCCATTCTCTCCATAACCATTTATCATAAATGGATGTTGAATTTTGTCAGAAGCCTTTTCTGCATGTATTGAGATGATCATGTGATTTTTTTAGCCTTCATTTTGTAAATGTGGTGTAGTACATTGATTGATTTGTGGATGTTGCACCATCCTTGCATCCCTGGGATAAATCCCACTTGATCATGGTTTATGATCCATTTTGGTTTGCTAATATTTTGTTGAGGATTTTTGCATCTGTGTTCATCAGGAATATTGGCCTGTAATTTTGTTTTATCGTGCTGTCTGTGTCTGGTTTTAGTATCAGGGTAATGCTGGCCTCAAAGAATGAGTTTGGAAGTGTTCCCTCCTCTGCTTCTATTCTAATTACCAAAAGCTTCTAGCAAGTGGCAGGAGATACCATTAGTTGCATGTATGATTTGCCTTTGGGCAAGAAACATCAGTTCTGCAGCGACAGATGTGGTGATTCAAGAATGATGTTATGGCCTTGCTGAGTGGTGGGCCACTGTCCCGAGTGTGGTGGGCAGTGGCAGCTGCTGGTAGGACAGCCGGGAAGCGACTGCTCAGTATCAGAGCATGCTGTGCAAGGAGAGCTGGATCTTTTGGGTTGGGTGTCGTCCAGTGTATCGGAGTTTCCCACTTGGCTTGTTAAGTGACCCTTCCTGTTGGCAGCTGAGACCCCTGACTAGGACTCTTTTCCTGTTAGCTCCTGAGCTGAGCCGCCCCTTAGCCATCTTGGACTATTGTTCCTATTTTGGGGAGTAGGAGGGTTGTGTTAGAGCCAGGGATGGTTTTCTGAACACAGCCATGCTGACCTCGGGGATCAATGGTTGGAAGAGTCTCTGAGCTGGTGTTCTTTCTGGAAGGCCCAAGTCCTGCTTCGTGGGGCTGAGAGCAGGAGTGTTGTCGTTATTCTGACTGAGTTTAAGTGTGGTTCTCTGGTGTTTGGGTCCCCTTGCCCACGAATGCCTGTCTTCTGTGGTCTCCTAAGAGCTGGGCCCTTTGAGCACACCTGTCTCTGACAGGAAAGCACCCGAAGGGTCTGACCCCGTCCACTTGCTGTCTTAGGTCCCAAGCCCGCCGTCTGCACCTGAGCCGGTGTCGTTGGGACTTAATCCCGTTTACTCTCCTGCATGGTCAGTGGCTGTTTGGAAACAGCGTCGGGAGGACTTATTGAGCTGGGATCTTCTTCCAGGCGAGGAGCCCTGGGGTGTGGTCAGCGCCTGGGCCAGGAGGTGCTGTGGATTCTGTCGTAAGCCCGCAGGCCCCTTGTGTGCCCTAGGCAGGGTCCAGGTGCGGGTCACAGGAGAGCACACGGGCCGGTGCCTGAGCTCATCATGCTCCGTACCTCCCGTGGTGGTGACGCCTTAGAGCTGCCCTGCCCAGCAGGCCCCGGGCACACAAGGTCGCCGTGGGGACAGGCTGCCCTCCCACTCCTGACACCTAGAGTTTCGTGTGACTCAAGTGGACTCCTTCTGTCTGAGTGCTGCCTGGACTTGCTGAGTCTTTCAGGTCACTTCTGCCGGACTAACTCTGAGACTTCTTAAAGAACACGTTATAGAACGCAGGTGTCACGTGGCCTGAGGAAACCCCGTGCCTCACGGTCCACATGACGACGTTGGTCTCTGACCTCCGCTCGGATTGTCCTGGGTGGGCC